CGTTTCAGTGAAATGAAAATAGAAATGTCTATGACGAGATTATGATTATTCTTAGCGTTCACTGATTAATAATCTAGCTAGCTGTCCTGATATTATAATCTAAACCAATCTAATCATTGTTTCGTAGTTAGTACTAATACTAATATTAGTAATATATTATTTGAAAATCTTTTGATCCCAAATAATGGAAATCATCAGTTAATTTTGAATAATTACGACAAATAATATCAAAATAAAAAAAAAATACACACACACAAATCAAAATATCCACTGTAATTCTATAAATATATGTCCATATGTATAATTTTTTCATTCTGATAGTAGTATTTGTCGTCATTACTGCAAATGATTAATGGTTTGTTGATGAAATTTAGATCTCGAAATTTAAGTTTTCGTTTCAAATGCAGCTGGCTATAAATCTGAACTTATCTGAGATTAAGATAATTTAAAAGATTGATTGTGGGAGCGATAAGGAACAACGACCTTCTAATTCTAAATATTTTTGGTAGATAATGGAGTTACATTTTATGGTTAATTTAACTTAGCCTTGCCGCCCCATCACCTAAAGGTAGCTTTCATTTGGACCGACCCTAATATAGTAATATATGCTTCTATGTTTTCTTTCTCTTGTTCTATGTCATGAGCCTTGTCCTCCCTCTAGAATATTATAGACTGTCACTCTTTTAAACAAAACTATTATATGAATCTTATCAATTTGGACAGACTTGAAAGTTTCTTTTTTGTTTCTTGAACATTCGGTTTTAAAATGTGATAACTTTATCGAACACTTTTGAGATAATGGTAAAAGTTCTCATTATAACTCGATTAGACTAATACCTTTCAATTATAAGGAGTGAAATAGCTGGAAACAAATTTAAGTCTCCACAGTTCATGAGTTCATTATCGCATCATTTAAAGCATTACTTCCATTTTTTACCACATAAAAAACTTCATCTAAAGTATAAATCCTATGTATATAGTTATTTACATATTATAACATGCATTAAATAAAAAGTACTCCATAAACCATATATATTATATTTCTTATCTTCTTAAAAAAAACATTTATAAAAAAAACA